GATGGCAGCAACCACCTGGTGCTGGCCACGACTGAGGAGGGAACAAATCAGGTGCGTGTGGGCCAACCCTTCCTGCACTGAACAAGAGTGGGGGTGGTGAGATGCTAAATTTTTAGTGGGAAGGATGAGGAAAGCAGTCCTGAAATGTTTTTCACAGAAATAGAAGCTAGTGAAATACAAACTGGCATTTGACTACTTTAGAAAAAAAAGAGAGGAGGGTAATAGGCAGGAAAGTGATTGGCTGCTGCTGCCAGACTAAGGAACTTTTAAAATTTTGTTCGTTCCCCCAAAGACGTACATGCCCAAACCACTGAGAGAGTAAGTGATGACAAGCAGATCTGCAAGTCGGGGCCCTAGTCACAGTAGCAGGCGCCCTGTCGCACAACAGCTTTGCAACCAGCAAAGTTGCAGCTTCTGCTACAGCGCACACGTGCGCGTGAACACACACACACACACACACACATGCGCCATCCTCCTCAGCCTGGTTCCCTGCCTGCACCAAGACCATTCCAGCTGCACGCAATAATCAGGCAAGCAACTTCTAACCCAGCCTAGGAGACTCAGAAGAGATAATGCTTATTTTTTTGCAAAGGCTTCTTAAGGCTCCAGGGACCTGTACCCCAGGTGGAGAATGCTTTCCCAGAAGCAGAGCCTGTTTCTCCAGCCTGAGTGTGTGTGCTGCAGAGCTGGGGACCCCACCCTATATCTATAGTAATTGCTGTATCTAATGGTGTGGTACTGCTGACTTCCTTTCCAGCTGTAGCTTTCTGTTGACTGACCCTGTTATTACTGGCTCCTGCTTTATTTTAGGGATGTTAACCTGCTCATATGTGTCTGCTAGTACCTTGGGGGTAAACTCCATCTTAAAGGCTCTTCAGAGAAGGGCTTCATAAGTTTTCCTTTTACAGGCCTTTATTGCATCTGTTTTCTCCAGTTCCTCTCTCTTCCTCCTCTCCTTCTTTCTGCCTGGTCAGAGCAGGGGATGTTAGCTTTTCTTAGGGACACCTTAGAGCCAGCCAGTCACATTATATGAGAATATGTTCTTCTAGGAGCCTGCCCCTAGAACAGTAATAACATGGTCAGACAACAGAAAGCTACAGCTGGTAAGGAAGTCAGCAGTACCACACCATTAGATACAGCAATTACTGTAGATATAGGGTGGGGTCCCCAGCTCTGTAGGTCACAGATTCAGACCTGTGGAAACAGCCTAGGCTATTCTGAAATTCTCAAGTGGAGTTCCAGTATTCAGTCTCTGGCTAAGCTCCATCCTTGTGGGCTGTAAGTTGGAATGAGTCAATAGGCCAGACATCTAATCCTCCCTGTGCCAGCATCCCACCTGGATGGCATGGCGGAGAAAGGGGAGCACGGGGACCCAACTCATTCACTATCAACAGGTCTTGTTCATTTCTTTTCTCTAGGAAAAAGCAGCACTTCTCTCCATCTGTGATAGGTGGACGCCAAGGCGCCGTATATTGTAAGCACACTTTCCTCCTCTGCACAGAGCGCTGTCTTTGCTGCCCTGTCTGTGCCATGGACCTACACAGTGTAAAAGAAACCCACCAGGGGCTTAGGTGTTCTTTCATCTTAGTAGTTCCAATATCCTCAACCACTATGGTAAGATGTCTACATGGCAAGTTAATTCAGGCATACAATGCAATGTGGGCAGGATATGTGGGTGGGTTCCAGCCAGTTTTGGTGGCTGCTTGGACCACTTCACAGAGACTTGTTCCAAGGAACAAGGAGAGGGCTTTGTGAAGTGCTTTGACTCTCACTGAAATGGCTGCTACAAGAGGTGATTTCTCACTGCAGGAGGATTTGGGAAGAGCAGTAGGGGGACAGGAGAGTATAAAGCCAGGTTTTATGTCCAGCCCATTTGGACCAGTTTTGTGGCCTTGTGTGTTTCCAAGCTACAGTTTCCTTATCAATACAATGATAATTGAATATATCCTATAGAACCATAGTGAGGTTCACATCACACAGTGTGAGAAATCACTTTGTAAACTGGAAAACACCACAAATAAAAAGAGGCTATTGTTATTGGGCTCATTATTCTGAGGCAGGAGAACCAAGGTATAGTAGGTTGGTGCAGTGGTTCATGCCTGTAATCAGCACTTTGGGAGGCCAAGGTGGGTGGATCACGAGGTCAAGAAATCGAAACCATCCTGGCCAACACGGTGAAACCCTGTCTCTACTAAAAATACAAAAATTAGCTGGGTGTGGCGGCATGCACCTATAGTCCCAGCTACTCAGGAGGCTGAGGCAGGAGAATTGCTTGAACCTGGGAGGCAGAGGTTGCAGTGAGCTGAGATCGCGCCACTGCATTCCAGCCTGGTGACAGAGCGAGACTCCGTCTCAAAAAAATAAAAAGAAACGAAAAAAGAAGTAAGCATTAGATATCACACAGTCTGAGATTCTTGGAGAACAACACAAGCCTCTGTAGATCCTCCTAGGATCTTTCTTCTGGAATGTTCTCTGATGACAATGGCAGAAACGGGGGGCAGAGGGGGGTGATAAAATGGCCAATTCTCCAATTCTATCAGCTGGGATAGAACTCAGCCCAAATCATGTTATTGCTAACCCTCAAATCACCTGATTAATTCTCAACTCATTGAAAAGATGATGTAGTGTTCAGAGCACAAACCATGGGACCAGAATGCCTGGACGTTAGCCCATCTCTGTGTCCCTCTAACTAGAGGATTTGAAGTAAGTGACATGACTCATCTGTGTTTCAGCATACCCATCTGTAACATGGAGATGATAATACTGTCTACTTCATAGTGTGAGAATAAAATGAAAAAGAAATGGAAAGTACTTCGGGAAACTTCTGACACGTATGGATAGTAAACTAAGTGTCACTACTATTGTTTTCCAAACAATTTATTAAAAAATAAAATGTGTGTTCTAATTTGTAGGAGGAGATGGGTTCTTCAGGCATGATCAAGAATGGAGTTCGATTAGGCATCAAGAAAACCAATCCCTCCTTCTCCACTCTAGTGTGAAGGGTCTGCCATGTCAAAACAAGATGAGAGTCCAGTGGAGCTATACAGTGTGCACATGTACCTTAGTAACCTGGAATTAAAGAGTGGTGACATTTCCTCCTGGTGCTGGAGCCCCGACCTAGATAAAAACAGGCCGTGAGGCTGAATCTGGGCTCCTCCGTCAACCACTGTATGACCGTGGATGCCTGACGTCTCTTTGTGCCTCACTTCCTAAACTTGCGATGGAATAACAATGGTGCCTGCCTTCTCGGGTTGTTGTTTAGAGCCGTCACTGAATAGCTACACAGTAAAACCCAGCTATGATTGTTATCAGGACACCATTTGCCATTACCCAACCTTGTGATTTGGAATCTGGAGAAACTGTATAAATTTCATCTTTCAAGTTAAAGTAGAAGAACCAAAAGCTAGATAAATCTAACCTAAAGCCGTATTTTTGTTAAAGACAAAGAAAGGAAATGGCACATCATCACAATCAAGTTATTTGGTCATACAGTATGACAGTATCTACGATCACCAATTTATGTCACTTTTTAAAAATTACAAAAAATTTTGTAATGCAAAATTATTTCAATTACAAAGCATTTCCATACATAAAAGCTCCGTCCCCTTTAGACGATCCTCAATTTTTACAAATAAACTGACCTGGTAGGCATGGGTGTTCCTAGTCCTTGTTTTTAACATCAGATATGGAGGACAGAGTACTAAACAATGTCTACTGATTCTGGTCACTCTGAAGTGCCACTTGTTTTTTCAGTTTTGCTAGAACTTGGAGCAAAGTATTTAGAAGCATTCATATTTAGAAGCAATGTAACTTCAAGGATCATTCATCAGAATGTTTGCACGAACTCATAAGTGGCAAAAACTGAAAATGCCGTGTGATTTTCAGTTTTAAAATAGTCCTATGGGGCTGGTGACCTCAGTCAGGCCAGCCATCGAGTTTGGGGTCAACTGAGTCAGGATGCAACAGCATTATTTTTCTCTTCTGGCTCCTCGAGCAAAGCAAAAATTTTGGTGTTAGGGCTGTCTCTTCAGGTAGTGAGTTTGGTTTCCAACATGCTAGGAGCAGCTCTGGAGAATGCTAAAAAGCAGAAGAGGCTGCCAGAGTCCAAGAACCAGTATCAGTAAAGTTAGCATAAGATTTAATAGACTAGAAAGTACCCGCCCAAACCATTTCTCCAGCCTGATAATCCAGGGCAATTAAGAGAAAATTTCCAGGCAATTTTAGCATTTTTAAAGTTTCATCTGGGCAAACATAGAAATATATAACTATGTTATCCAGACCTTACCACTGTTTGTTTTTGAGACTCTAATATTAAAGTAAAGACTGGCCTAGCACAGCAGGTATGTTTGCCCTTGCCTGAGAGGAGGCAGAAACTTGGGAGGAAACTAGGGTCTTTGGAGTTACTGGGCTTCCTCAAGGATCCTCAAGGTTTGCAAACACCAAACAGACAGGACTCCATCCCGGATGTGCAGGCCAGTCCTTCCTCCTTCACAATGACGTGCTAACATCATGGTGCAAATTTGCAAACTTTTTTTCCTTATTAAGAAAATTATTCAAACCTAGAAAAATGCAGGGGTTAAAGCCTTGCTTTCGTAAACACAGACTGTGTGTGTTGAGGGGTGACTTTTAGCTATTATACAGAAAAATGCAGTAAAAAGTGCGAAGTAGCCCATTCTGCTCCATTGAATTGTGAGGCAATTATGGTCATCCCAGCCTTAGCAAATTAAAGTACATGATGAAATCCCAATCTAAGGATATCAACTGCTATGTTACTAAATAATCTATACATCCTATTCAAAAAGCATTTAAAATTGTGTCAAGAGAGGTTATGCTGAAGAGGAACTATAATTTTTAAATCATTTACTGTACATTTAAATTTTAACTTGAAGCTAAATGTTGCAAAATTAAATCAATTTTATTTGATAACATGAGGTAGTTTATACTCCTTCATTTGTGGGTTGATGGAGCCCCTGGCACAGTCTTGAATTTAAGACCCCTACCTCACAGGAGCACTTAAGTCTTGATCCCAGCACACTCTTTCATCCTGGAAAAATTATTAAAGTTAGACATGTTTTTCGCTGTTTTTTTTCTTAGCCAGTTTTCTATCCCAAGCCAAGCAAAGACATTAAATTCACCCCCCCCACACCTTCCCCTCTTTCCTCATTCCCCACTCTCCCTCTCTTTCCCTCTCTTTCTTTCTCTCTCTGAAGTTTCTAAATCAGTTCCTATGGTTTTAGTTTTCTTTTTTCTAAATTTAAAAATGTGGCTTCTGACTATAAACTGAATCCCCTACCTTCAGCAGCCCCAGTCCCCTGGGGCTGTTACTGGCGTGATCTGTAGATTAACTGGAGTCACTTAGAGCCCTCAGTTAGCTTTTAGTCAAACATTAGCAGCAGTGTTTACCCTTGTGTAATCTGCAGTTGTTACTTAATTTAATGCCCGTCAGCATTTTTTTTTTAAAAAGAACATGTCCAGCAAATCCTTGGCACAGGCTGTTTGAATTCCTTAGTCTTCCCTTCCCCCACCTTGACCCAAATCAAGCTAAATGCATCTGAATAGAGGCTTGCTAATATTTTTAATTTGCTAGTGTAGTTTTCCTTCTTCCTGGAGAAAGAGTTTGCTTTCTGTGCCAGTTCAACTATATCCTACTCAGAGGCCTGGGCTTCATGTCCCTACCGCACCTCACATCAAAGAGGGTGAACTGTAAATTGTTAGGGTGTTTGTTTCTTGTTGCTCTGGCAGTGATCTGTGAGGGATGTAAGATGGGAAGCATCCTCAGACTCCCATTTGGAGGATGCTGGTGTGGCCCCCTAAAGAAAATCCATTGAAAACAAACTTTGAAGTGCTGCCCAGTGGAGAGCTAAATGCTGAACATATCACATCATAATTCATACATAACTTTGTGTGTTTTGAATCTTTCTCCTCCATGGCCATCACCTCAAATGTAAATAAATGGAGCCCTGGCCTTCCTACAGGGTCCTGGTGCTCCTTTCATAACGTGAGACCCATCTAGATCCAGCAGGAGAATTTCTCTAAAGCCATCATAAAGGCAGTATCAAGGACCGATTTCAAACTCCTCCAAAGAAGAATGAAGCACATTGTCAGAGAATAAGAACTCAGGGGAAAATTAAAAGGTGATCTTCAAAGGCTGCGATGAACAGCTCCTCTCTGCTTTCACACACTGTGTAAGAAGACTTCCTTCAGTTCAGGCGGCTTTGGTTAATAGCCGCATTCTCAATATTCTAGGTTTCAAGGCCAAGAAAATAAATGTCATGGGGGAAACCTCTTGCTTTTTCAGGTGATAAAATACAAAAAATGTGTACATCTCAATACAGTAAAGGACTCTGAGTCAGCCAGGGCTCAACTTGCTATTCTCTTCCTTTCCTGCAAGAACAGAAATCAGGATCCCTTTCCATTTACCACTAGGGAAAACCCTGCTGCTGAGGACTGTAAATGTCAGGGATCACCCTATGAGTCTCACAGATGGCACCTGAAGAGGAGCAGTATGGAACACAGGATACGAGGAAGGAAAGAGAGATCCCGAGGATGGAGGCTCATTTGACTACTGCAAATGAACAAATACCAAAACAGGAATTTTTGTACTCTTAGGCAGGGAGTTCCAGGACTGAGTCCACATGGAGACCATGGTTGGACTTCCAGGAAAACTTCAGTGAGGGGCTGAATTATGTGCCATTAACGCAAGACGCACCCATCCTGGGAGTCAGCATATCTGTCTGAGTTCAGGTTACAAGTGCACACTGGCAGTCCAAGGTTGGGGGCCAGTGTCACTGTCCTGAGCTCTCCAAAGCAGCTCAGGAGACATATATGTCCCTGTCTTTGACTCTGTCCTTCCTCAAGCCCAGCTCTGTGACGTTACTACCAAGGCTCCAAAAGGCAGCTCTTTTGCTACACAAATTATGAATTAGTTCTACAACCTTCTTGAACCATCTAGAAAGTGCTCAAAGCACAAGGCTGCACAGATAAGGACTTTAAGGCTCAACTCACTCCCAGGTAATATTAGTAGTTCTTCTCAGCAAGAACATGTGCCCAGGTCCCAGTAGCACTATTGAAAAAGCATGGGTCCCTCTTTGTTCTATTTCCACTGCTGAGTGGCCCCATCATGGGCATGCAACATTTCTTCTGCCATTTCCTTTCTCAGCTCTCATCAACTGCCTCTTCCATTTCCCTGTCTTGCACAATCTCAACCCAACTTAATTATTTAACAGCACTAAGTGTTCCATTCTTATGGACAGTGTGAGCCTTTAGACTTCCTCTAAGGAGAGAGAGCTTGACAAACATAAAATGGAAATCCTCGGAACACTTTTACTGTTGGTGGGAACGTAAATTAGTTCAACCATTAAGGAAAACAGTGTGGCGATTCCTCACATATCTAGAACAAGAAATACCATTTGACCCAGCAATCCCATTACTGGGTATATACCCAAAGGAATAAAAATCATTTTATTACAAAGATACATGCACATATATGTTCACTGCAGCACTAGTCACAATGGCAAAGACATGGAATCAACCCAAAGGCCCAACAATGACAGACCGGATAAAGAAAATGTGGTATGTATATTGCTTTTACACTGTTGGTGGGAATATAAATTAGTTCAACCACTGTAGAAGACAGTGTAGCAATTCCTCAAAGATCTAGAACCAGAAATACCATTTGACCCAGCAATCCCATTACTGGGTATATATTCAAGGGAATATAAATAATTTTATTACAAAGATACATGCATGCGTATGTTCATTGCAACACTATTCACAATAGCAAACACATGGAATCAACCCAAATGCGCATCAATAACAGGCTGGATAAAGAAAATGTGGTACATATATACCATGGAATACTATGCCGCCATAAAAAGGAATGAGATCATGTCCTTTACAGGGACATGGATGAAGCTGGAAGCCATTATCCTCAGCAAACTAATGCAGGAACAGAAAACCAAACACCACATGTTCTCACTTGTAAGTGGGAGCTGAACAGTGAGAACATATGGACACAGGGAGGGGAACAACACACACTGGGGCCTGTTGGGGCCTGAGGTTGGGGGAGGAGAGCATTAGGACAAATAGCTAATGGATGCTGGGCTTAATACCAAGGTGATTGGTTGACAGGTGCAGCAAATCCAGCAAATTACCATGGCACATATTTACCTATGTATCAAACCTGTACATCCTGTACACGAACCCTAGAACTAAAAATTAAAAAAAAAAAAAACAGAACAGAAACAAAAGAATGGAAATCTTTTTAGAAAAGTATGTCATTGAATTGGAGGTGAAAGCCATAATGATCAACAACAATAAATTCTTTTCCTTTCCATTAGGCCATGCCGGGTGCCCCCTTCCCTCAGCACATTTGTACATGTGTTTGTTTACTGAGCAGTGCCCAGTTTGTGAGGCTCCCCCAAAGGCAGCCCCAGTCTGCTAGTGCCTGCCCAGGATTCTGCACTAGTCAATGAGAAATCAAACAAACTGGCTGCAATAAGCCGTTTTACACCAGTTCGCAAACAGAGAACTTGGGGCTCATTCCCAGAAGGCCAGGCATGTGAGTTAAAGGAGCCTGACTTGCAAACCTTCCCCCACACTCGGGATTCACTCTGTTTATTCTGTCATCCTGGTTTATTCTTTCAACAGTGGTTTCTCCATGGAGCAACGCATCACACTGCATCCAGACCGTGGAGACACACAGAAGACATCCAGAAAGAGCCAGAGAGAGCACAATCCCGCTGATCCATTTACTAAGCCATTTGTTAACAAGCTGGTTTAGGGTTTTTCTTTTCCACAATTTTTCAACATTTGAGAATTGAAACTGCCAGCTGTTCTCATCTTTAAACAAAATTGCCGGAATAATCGAGAATTTAAGCTAGTTTTTATTATTATAGTCCCCTGTAGAAGTACATCTGACCAAAATAATGAGCTAATGAAATAATTTGCACATCCTGACCATGCAAAACAGACACGTAAGACACGTAAAATATGAAGCGCAGAGCCAGTCAATACTTAGTAACTGCTGATGCAGACTTGGTTTCCTAAGGCATAAAATGTGTAACTAAATGACATATAACTTCTGAAATATCATGGCACCAAGGGAGAATTAACAAAAGGCCACCAAAAAGCAGACTGCACATGAGGTAGCAGAGAGGCTGTGGAATCAGACACACCCAGACTTAAACTGGATTCCACACTGGCTATGTCACTGGAGCTGATGGCATGTTCTCAGCAAGCCTCAGTGCTCTTACCTCTAAAATGGAGTTCAGAAGAACAGGGCGCCAACTCAGCAGATTGGTGTGGGGATTAAATAAAATTAGAAAACGCATGTAAAACCCTTGACTACAGTTTCTAGCTCACAGTAAGCTCCTAGTAAATGAAAACTACTGGGCACTCTTGTCCTACAGATAATGGCTTAAAAACTGGGAACTTAAAATAATTTTAAAACTCAGGAGGCCAGGCACGGTGGCTCACGCCTGTAATCCCAGCACTTTGCGAGGCCGAGGCGGGTGGATCACGAGGTCAAGAGATTGAGACCATCCTGGTCAACATGGTGAAACCCCGTCTCTACTAAAAATACAAAAAATTAGCTGGGCATGGTGGCGCGTGCCTGTAATCCCAGCCACTCTGGAGGCTGAGGCAGGAGAATTGCCTGAACCCAGGAGGCGGAGGTTGCGGTGAGCCGAGATCGCGCCATTGCACTCCAGCCTGGGTAACAAGAGTGAAACTCCGTCTCAAAAATAAAAAATAAAAAAAATAATAAAAACTCAGGAAACAAAGAGTACCTCTTTGAGGGAAATATCTGACTCCCAAACCAGGTAATGGAACATCTTGGAAACCGAGACCACTCAGAGCAGACTTGTTAAAGTGCCAGGGACGGGACTCATACCCAGCTGACACTTAATAAACGTTTATTGATACTGACCATGGTTTCCTCAGGTTTAAAAGTTTAAAATAAAATGTCTCGAAGAATTACAGAATTAACCACTTGTGGTTATTCCTGAAATATGATGGCATCAATGTGAAAATTCAAAACACTAGCCCCCATTAGAAAGCTGTATACCAATGTTGTTTAAAAGACTGGAATGACTCTAACTACAAAGATGGCATGAAAAGCGGAGATTCAAAAAATTATAAGAACAAAATCAAGAAGGATTTCCTAGAAATGGAGGGGCCTCACCAACTTCAGCAGAGAAATTTTCTTCATTTGTCATCCCCTGACTCCACAGAGTAATGTAACAATGCCAGGGAGGTATCTGCATATACCCAGGGTGAGACCACCAACCCTTTGCATTTAGCCAAAGGAGTACCAAATTATGGTGCCACACTGGCTGATTGAATCATTCAGAGTAAAATTCAAACAGATAAACTCACAGAGGAGAGCTCCCACACATAGATGGAGAAAA